TGTGTTTGTGCGTGTGTGAATGTGGGTGTGAATGTGTGTGTGTGTGTGTGTGTGTGTGAGTATGGGTGTGTTTGTGCGTGTGTGCATGAATGCTCTAACTACAGTGGGAGTGTGGAGACCAGAAGATAACCCACTTTATGTGGGTTCTGGGGAACAAATTTAGGTCATGAGGCTTCACGGCAAGGACCTGCGACACCATTTCACCAGCCCCCAATTGTTGTGTTTAAAAACTAAATCCCTAGTGAGAAGAGGAACAGTTTCCAGTTGGGTTACAGTAGAACCCTCGAGGAAAGCAAAATTGAAGTTTGTTTTTTATATGTATTTTATTTATTTATTTTATGTATATGAACGCTCTATCTGCATTTATACCTACACACCAGAAGAGGGTATTAAAGGTATAGATGGTTGTGAGCCACCATGAGGCTGCTGGGAATTGACCTCAGGACCTCTGGAAGAGCAGATAATGCTCTTAACCACTGAGCCATCTCTCCAGCCCCTGAAGTTCGTTTTTAAAACTCTGTTAAAAAATAAAATTCTGTTAAAGACAAAGTACATTTATTATCTATAGGTGGTGTTAATATAAACTTTGGGATAAGAAGCTAATTACCTAACAACAGTGACCTTATTCCGAGAGCAGTGATTAAAGTTCAGTGGAAGCCAGGCCAGATACAGAATCTGAATCTTTAACGTTTAGTTCACGATAGAAACTAATGCTCATTCCTTTCCACTCACTAGCTGGCAGCGTTCCCATAGTATGCTAATATTATGAGCCATGTTAACCATGTCTTTATGTGAATGTAAAACCCTAGTTTTATCATTTCTTCCTTGTTTGAACCTGGTAAGAAGGTTATGTTGAAAACTTTGACTTGTCTGCGTACTCAGCTCTCACATTTAATTCTTGTTTCCACATGAAGTTTTCAATAAGAGTATGTATTCTGAACTATGAATAACACTTTACAACAGCGCTTTATACCTGACACTGAGTACAAGAAGGATTGAAGAGCGGGACTGCTCACCGTTAAAATATACCTCTGTGCCGTTCAGAATCCAGGGAGAAAATAGCAACACGAGCAAGCGCTCGATGGAGGAAGGTTTTGGTTCTGTATATCCTTTCTTTAGAGTGGCTTAGAGGTAAATAGAAAGGTCCGTTATGACTCCTAAAATCAATGTAAACTAAAGGGTTTTTTAAGTGTTTAATGATTTAGTAATTAGCATATTGATGAACTTTTTACAACTTGCCTAGGGAAAAAGAACATGACTTAGAACGAAGGTACGAGCTGCTGAACCGGGAACTGCGGGCGATGCTAGCCATCGAAGGTAAGAGCTGAGGTGAGGGTGGACCGTGCTAG